CATATACAAATACAAATACATATTTAAATACATAAGTATTTTCAACACCCTCACTTATTGTTTACAAAATTATTATTCATATTTAAAATAAAAATTTTTTTTACAATATTTTTGATGTTTTTTTTTTTAATGTAATTTGAAGTTAATTTTATACTACAGTTTTTTTTTTGGGTTTTAGCAAGATTTTGTTTTACAGTGTATTATACTTTTTGAGTTTGATACTGTCTTTTAACTTTACGATAATGTAATCGATATAAAAAGTATAGAAATTCTATTATTTTTAGAATGCAAATAATCCCTAACATAATCAAGATTTCTTGGTTGTGTATTGGAACAGGTTCACTAATATTGATATTGTTCTGTACTTCTCCATTGTTGTTGGATTTCTGCTGCTCCGATGAAAACCAGCCTCCCATGTTGTATAATATTGGATAACTGTGAGTAAAACAATAATTATTATAAATGTTAATTATTGTCTTATTTTATTATGAGCTTAAGCCCATTTGTTCAGCGCAAAATTTTGTTTTTTCTCTGCTGACTGCTTTTGTTAACGAATCAGCTGCCATTTGTTGAGTGCCAAGAAACTCCAATTTGATTGAACCTTCATCGATTTTTTCACGTATATGGTGATATCTGATATCAATGTGTTTCGTCCTTGGTCTGTATGCTTCGCTCGAGCCTAATTTGATAGTACTTTGGTTGTCACAAAAAACTTTAGTAGTTTCAACCAAGTTTTTATCAACTTCTTTGGCTAACATTTTCATCCATATTATTTCTCGTACTGTTGAAGACAATGCGATGTATTCTGCTTCTGTGCTTGATAAAGCAACTATTGGTTGCCGTTTGCTGCACCAACTTATAGCAGCATTGGACATTTTTAATACATAGCCGGAACACGATCTTCTGCCGTCGATTTCTGCTGCCCAATCAGCGTCACTAAATGCTGCCAAGTTGACATCATCAGTTTTTCGATAGCTTAGTTTGAAATCAATTGTGCCTTTTAAATATCGAAATATTCTTTTCACAGCTTGCCAATGCTCATTTGAGTGTTTTAAGTTAAACCGGCTTACATTATTTACTGCAAATGCTATATCCGGTCTAGTTCCTTGTGTTAAATATAAAAGGCTGCCCACAGCTTCTTGGTATGGTATTTTCCCCGTCAGATCATTTTTCTCAGTGATGCATTTTTCAGTCAATTTTTGACTTACTTCACATGGTGTGCCCACTGGCTTACAATCCTGCATACCAAAACGTTCAAGAATTTCATTTATATATGACGATTGATCTAGTGTAATTTCGTCGCAATTTTTGCTCTGCGTGATACGTATTCCAAGACAACTTTGAGCAGATCCCAAATCTTTCATTTTGAATTTTTTGTTAAGGTACTGCATTAGTTTTTCTAGGTTATTACTACCTTTGTAGAGTATAAGGAAATCATCGACGTATATTGCAATTATCAGATTCAATTCTTTATCATAGTAAATGCATGGATCAGTTTTACACCTTTGTAACCCGAATTCTTTTAATGCTGAATCGAGCTTTAAGTTCCACTGTCTTCCGGCTTGTTTCAGTCCGTAAACAGCTTTGTTTAGCTTACATACCTTGTTAGTGCCATCATTGTAACCTTCTGGTTGTTCCATGTATATTGTTTCTTTAAGATCACCTTGAAGAAACGCAGTCACTACATCCATTTGATGGATTTTATAGCCGTTTTTTACTGCTAAAGCCACTAAAAACCTTATTGATGTGTATCTAACCACCGGCGAGAATGTTTCATCATAATCGATGCCGTATTTTTGTGCACAGCCTTTTGCAACAAGTCGTGCTTTATATTTTACAGCTTTACCGACCTCATCTTGTTTTACTTTAAAGACCCATTTTGCTTTTATAGGCTTTCTTCCATCTGGTAGTTTCATCAACGACCAGGTGTTATTTGATCTATGTGATTCCATTTCTTCATTCATTGCATCTTCCCATTCTTTCGCTTTTTCACCGTTTATAGCTTCTGATACTGTTAATGGCTGTGAAAGAAATGCAAAAGCATTAAATTGAAAAGATGGTACAGATACCTTAGCTTTAGATCGTGTGACTCTTCTTTCTTCTTCAGATTCATCAATACTTTGTTCAGGAACATAATCTGGATCATTTTGGGTTTGATTCGGTGATTCTATCATGGTGTCATCTTCCGCAACACTTTGTACGTCTTCGTTCGATTCATCAGGTTTTATGCTAACTTCTTCAAATGTGTCTTCATCGCTTCTCTTTATTTCCCTCACTTCGTCGTTATAGATTTTTAAGGTCGACTTTGGTTGAGGTTTTTCGTAGAATATTACATCTCGACTTATAACCAGTTTCTTTGTTATTGGAACAATACAGCGAAAACCTTTAATGTCGTCATCATAGCCCACGAAAAACATTTTCTTGGATTTAGGATCCCATTTTTTACGTTTTTCTTTGTTTATGTGAACCATTGCTTCACAACCAAACAATTTCAGGTTAGATATGTCTATTTTTTTTTTATAGAATATTTCATCAGGAATTTTTCCATGCGACGAACAAATACTTTTGTTGATTAAGTAGGCTGCCATATTTGTTGCTTCTGCCCAATAACATTTTTGAAGATTTGCATCAAACAGGAGACATTTAGCTTTTTCAATTAAGCTTCGGTTCATTCTTTCGGCAATTCCATTCTGCTGAGGAGTATATGCATTACTTAATTGATGCTTGATACCATTCTCTTTACAGTATTTGTCGAATTCAGTTGAACAATATTCACCACCATTGTCCGTCCGTATTGTTTTGATTTTAGATCCAGTTTGGCGTTCAATGTATGTTTTGAAATTTTTAAAGTTATTGAAAACTTCTGATTTTGACTTGAGAAAGTAAACGAATAATTTTCGGGAGAAATCATCTATGAATGTTAATACATATTTGGCGTGTCCTATAGATTGCGTTTCCATAGGTCCACATAGATCAGAATGTATTAGTTCGAGTAGCTTTGTTGTTTTTGAGTTACTTTGTTTAAACGGAATTCTTGTTTGTTTGCCTTTGGGACATATCTGACAATTTTTTATTTCATGATCGTCGTCATTGAAATCAATACCAGAAACAGCGCCGTCACGCATTTTCTTTAAACTTTGAAAATTTATGTGTCCAAGTCGCCTGTGCCATAGCATTGCGTTGTTATTTGTTTGTTTTGATAACAAGCATTTTGCTTGGATTCCCTTCAGTTTGTAAACACCATTTTCCGCTTTGCACTGTACAATTACTTCTTTGTTTTTGTTAAGTATTGTACAGCCTGTTGCATCGAATTTTATTACATTCCCCTGACTCACTATTTTTGCAGCTGACAGAAGGTTTACTGATAAATCGGGCACGTGTAGAATTTCGTTAACTACAATTTCTTGCCCGTTGATATTCAGTGATGTTTTGCCAACGCAACTTACTGTCATAGCTGTTCCATTTGCTGACATTATTTTGTCAACGAGTGAATTTTTTTTGCTAGTGAGCAAATTATCGTTTGGTGTCATATGAGACGATGCACCACTGTCTAGATACCAGTCGTCGTTATTTCTTTTCGTTAATAACGCTGTGAATGCATTTTTTGCTGTGCCATTTTGTGCATTATTTTTCTTGTAGTGACATTCCCCTGCATGTTTCTTTCCACAAGTTGTGCATTTTTTCTTTTGTAAGTATTTTTGCTTATTTTCGTACCTTTTTTTACTAAGAAATGCATCACTTTTTGTGGTTGTGTTGGTATCAGAGTCCAACAGTTTAGCGATTATTGTTTCTGATTTTATTTGTGAGTCTGATGCTTCAATTCCCATTATAAATGGTTTATATGCATCAGTTAAACCAGCCAATACTATCGCCGTCAGCCAATCCTCATTTATCTCAAAACCAATTTCATTTAATTTATTAGAATTATCTTTAATTCTATCAATGTATGATTGCATGTTCTCGCAGTCTTCTAATCTGCAAGAGATCAGGCCTCTTAATAACCCAATTTTTCTTGTTAAGCCTTTGTCCTCATACAGATTTTTTAGTTTCTGCCATATTTCTAGCGCTGTTTCACATCTGGATATGTGAACGTACAGCGATGGCGCTACGCTTAGAGCTAACAGGGCTTTGCAATTAGTTAATTTCTCAGCGTTTGTTTCTGTGACAGGATCGGTTATACACTTATGCAGACCTTTGAATGCTAATATATTTTTTATTGCGAAACACCAGTTGTGGAAATTTTCCTGGCCTTTGAGTTTCTCTACTTCAAAACCCTTTTCCATTTTAACTTATAATTTCACTTATAAATTTTATATATATGTATATGTATATTAATTCAAAGTCTTACTTGAAGCGTTATTTTATTTTTATTATTACAGCAGATTTTGCACTTTTGATTTTTATTTTATTTATTTAATTCCGACACCCGACACTACAGCAGTAACCTTGCTCTGCTACCATGTAGAGAGAGAATAAAGAACACGACGGTTTGAGGTTTATGAGTGGACTGACTGTTTAATGTATCAAGAATATGCTTATAAGTATTACAATTATGCGAAGCTGGTAAATAAAGTATAATAAGCTTATGAGTGCATTTTATATGCACATATACAAATACAAATACATATTTAAATACATAAGTATTTTCAACAAAAATAACTTTACTAGTATATTCAGCAGCCTTGAATACATATTATA